CCGACCCCCTTTAGGTGCCTCTCTGGTCCTTCCTGAGAGGCAGCCAGCTCTCAGCCTCCTCCACCCCTCTGCGTCTGAGAGGTCATGACCCTGAACGGGCTTTGAACGGAACTAGGCAGGGTGGGGAAGGCAAGTGGATGCCCCTGGAAGGGGTGCTGGTACACATCCCAGGGCCATACCCAGGGGCCACATCCAGGGCCACATCCAGGGCCGGGTGAGCAGGACCCAGATGAGCCCTGCCCGGCAGGAAGGCCAGCGTCGGGCTGAGACTATCCTTACCAGTTTTCACACGTGGCGTCCACCACTCAACCAGAAACAGTGTCATGTGAGAAAAGACTGTGTGGTCGCAGCAGGAGGAAGGAAGGACAGACAGTGGGAGCAGACGGAGCAATACCCAAGAGACAGGTTAGCAAGTGTTAGAACTGATGACCAATGTCAGCCTCAGGCTCAAAAAGCACTCTCAACTCTGAGCGTGAATCAGAAGAAAGCTGTCCCTACATCACTGAAAACCCAAGGCAGGGAAGACTAAACCCACTGCCTCCAGGGCCGACGCACCCCGTCGGCTCGGCCTGCCGCAGAGGCCGCGGACTTTCCCTCCAGCCTTCATGCCGTCACCCGCTGGCCCGCAAGGTGGGGAAAGAAAGAACAGCTCAAATCAAAGAGAATAAACGTAAGGAAATAATAGAGATTGGCGCAGAAATGAATAGCCCAGAAAAAGAGAGGGTCCTCAAAGCTGAAAGTCGGTGCTTTGAAAGGATGGATTTGGTTGACACCTCCTGGTAAGGCTGATCCAGAAAAAGAAAAAGAGGGAGAGAGACTTCGGGGGGGTCCTTAATAATTAGCATCAGGACTGAGAAAGGAGGGGGCCTCTGTACAGATGCTTCAGGTAAGAAGCAGCCAGGGTGAACCTCACGCCTGAAGCAGGGAAATTCAGATAAAACGGACACGTCCCTAGAAAAATATAACTTACCAAGCCTGTGCAAGAAATAGAAAATCTGAGCAGTGCTGTAACTATCAAAACAACAGAATCTTCGATTTTCAAATCCTCACAAAATTTCACGCCCAGATGGTCTTGCTAGTGAATTGCACAGGCAGCAAACAAACGGACCTACATTTCAGGACAGGATGGGTGTGGCCCATAAGCTCTGACTCGGAGGTCTGGTGACACAGAAACAGGCCGCACACCACAAGCAAACGAGTCCCTCCCAACAAGGCAGGCGAGTTGTTCCTTTAAAATCACACGGTGTGATTCGCCACGTTAATAGAGTAAAGGAACAAAGTCACACAATCATCCCAGCAGGCCTGTGGAAGCAACCACTTGAGACGAAAACGAAGCACAGACGGAAACGCCCTCAGGCCGCGAAGGGCGTCTGCAGACCCAGAGCCGCGCTTGCACTTGACCGCCAAACTGAGAGCACGGCGGGGTCTGCACTCTGCACAGCGGCTCAGGTGAGAGGGAACCAAAGGCATTCATGGATTTTGGGAAGAGAGGAAAAAGCGTCTTTATTCTCAAAAGGCATAACCGTATACGTCAAGTGCAAAAAAGCTACCACAAAAGCTACTAGGAGAAGTGAATTTAGCAAGGCTATAAGATGCGACATCAGTTTACAGATACCATTTTTACATACCAACAACAAAGAATTTGACATGAAATTTAAAGGATGCCATTTACAATAGCAAAAAATCCCACAAAATACTTAGCTGATTCTCAGATATACATGGAAACGCAAAGGGCCTGGGGAAGGACCTCGGATAGCTAAAACAGTTTAAAGAAAAATAATCTGAAGGAATTACAGCACCTGGAGATTTATGAGAAGATGTCCTGTAAAGTTAGAGTAATCGAGACAGCGCAATGGCGCCGCTGGGACAGAAGGCGCACCACAGGGACACGGGGCAGGTGCAGCTCCCCTCTACGCAGCTGCCTGGGGCTTGGCCCAGGCCCTCAGCAGCTCCACAGGGAAGGGAAAGTCTTCAGCAAGGTTACCATGTGGGAGAAAAGCCACCTTAGCTCTCACCTCACATCACGCATGGAAAGCAACTTCAGGCGGATCACAGACCCGCACGTACCAGCTTCTAGAAGAAAATACAGAATACCTTTGTGCCCTTGGACAGGCAAGAGCTCTCAGAACACCAGAAGTAGTGACCATAAAAAACTGGAAAGCCACATTTTATCACAATTAAAACCTGTTCATAAAAAATGCGTTAAGAAATAGGAAAAGAAAATGAAAGACTGAGAGACAATATTAGTTATGAGTATATCTGGCAAAAGGCCTGTATTCAGACTATTTCAACAACTCCTCTGACAAAACAGTGGATGACAAGCCACCTGTGACAGAAATGTGTTGAACATGCATGCGGCCCAGAGACATGCGGGTCAGCGTCACCACAAGGCACAGCTGCACACCCCGGCGCTGGCTACAACTTAACCCTCTGATGATACCAAGGGGGACAAGACCGTGGGCAGCCCAAACTCTCAGAACTGGGCGGGTGTGTGTGTGTGTGTAAAACTGCTCACTACCCCAAGCCAGGTCACTCCACTCCCAGGCATTAGCCCAGGAGAAAAGCACACACGTCCACAAAAAAGACTAGTCCAAGAATGATTATAGCAGTTTTGTGCATAACAACCAAAACCAGAAAACAACCCAAATGTCCATCGACAGGAGGAAGAAGAGCAGATCGTGGAGACCACAGAATCCTCTGTAGCAAGCCCACTGATGCAGTCAAGGACACACACACAACCTCACACATGGGGTCGGCGGGACCAAGCCAGACGCAGGCCAGCACAGGGTGGGAAACCTAAATGAGTAAGAACCTGCGTCACCATCTTTGGAGAAACTCGATACTGCACTAGTGGAACAAGAAAAAACTACAAAAAAACCACTCAGACATTAAAAACCTTTAAGCAAAAAGATCCAGTAGAAGATACATTCGAGAAAAATCACCTAGAAAGTAGAACAAAAAACAGAGATGGAAAACGTGGGAGAGAAGAGAAAAGATGCCAGGGCAAGACGGTCGTCTGGACGCTGCTCTGGAAGAGAAAGCAGAGGGGAACGCCGCCAGCACGCCCCAGCACTGAAGCGCGTCAGTTTCTCAGTTTGAAAGGCCCCCTGGGAACTGCCCGATGGGAGAAGAATGCCACCCGGGCCACCAGCAAGTACTTGAGACTCCCCTGCAGATGCCAGGACGAATAGCCTCACGAGTGAAAACGGCCTTGACCTCAACAGCAATCCTGGGAGCTAAAAAGACAATGGAACCACACTCTGAATTCTCTGGGAATATTACTTCCACCCAGAGCTCCACATCCAAACTGTCACTCAGGAATGACAGTAGAATGAGGATATTTTCTGCTAAGCATGGTCTTAAAACTTTTATCTCCCATGCCTCTCTTCTTAGGGATATTTCTAGAGTGTGAAATCTACCAACAAAGAAATACATCAAGAAAGAGGAGGACATGGAATCCAGGAAACAGAGCTGAACACAGGAGAGAGACAAGGGCAGTTCCCAGAATCACGGTGAAGGGAGATTCCAAGGCCACATCCGAGCAGCACAACCAGGGAGCATCTAGGAGAAGCAAGAGGAGGCGGGAGGGTGGGGGAGGGGTGGCGAAAGAGAGGGAGGGCAGGATGGGAGGAGGGGCAGAGGGGAGAGAGGGAAGGTGGGGGAGGGAGGGGAGAGGGAGGGCAGGATGGGGGAGAGGAGGGTGGAGGAGGGAGGGTGGGATGAGGGAGGGGAGGGGGAGAGGGAGGGTGGGGAGAGGGTGGCCAGCACTGTCTGCAGGGCTGGCATGCAGACACAGCGTGTCAGGAGGCCCTGCTGGAGAAGCAGCACGTGCCAGTGGCCCCCCCTGCGTGCTGGTGGCAGTGCCAGCATCCACCGCGGCGAGGGCGTGAGGGGCTCCACCCCACGGGGCACCCCTGGCCCTGCACCCGGCCCTCAGAGGGGTGGGGTCCAGCACAGGTGTGCCCTTCCTGGCGCCGTCCAGTTGACCAGAGGCCCTCGAACCCTCATACCCTCACCACACACAGGCCCTTCCAGTTGTGCTCTATGTGTACATTTCTCTTTCACCAAGGTCAAGGGAAGGGTAGCAAGGGTCAGGCCGACCATGTGGGGTGCAAGTTATTTGGGATAAAAGCCCTTTAAGGAACCCACCAGCCCAAAGAGCTAAACAATGCTTCATGAGGTTCTGAGCAGGTCAGATCGTTATTCTATAAGGTGTGTATTAAAATGGAAAGAAACTCACCCAGAGCCCAATGGAAGGACTGGCAAAGGATAAGAACAGAGTTTTCAGAAGAGGAGACAAATGGCTAACGGGCAAACAGACAGTCAGAGTGAGAAGTACATGATCCTCTGCTGCACTGGCCACAGTCCCGCCCTGGCCCTTGGCAGAGTGTAAGAGGCACCAGGCCCTGAGTGCAGAAGGTGCTTGGTCTCCCGGGGCCACAGGGAGGCCTCTTTATCTGCACGGGCATGCACTCCCACACATATGTGCACACACACGGGGAGCTGCTCGCTGGAAGGGACAGGACTCACCTTGCTCCCCCTCCCCCAAGCACCAGGGCGATGGCATTGCCGGTCAGCACCCGTGCCAGGCGGGAGAAGTCCGAGTGCCGGTCTGGGGGCCTCTGGAAGACCCGCTCATACATCTCCACCTAAGAGAGGCCGGCAGACGAGAGGGCTGGGCCGAGTCTGCACACAGCAGACCTGACCAGGCTGGTCACCTCCATCCTGACCCAAAGCTCTCTCCAGGACACCCCCGTCGGTCTGATCCTGACCCTGTCAGCACCCTGGTGCCCAGACTTGCCCAGGAGGGCCCGTGGCTGAGCGGATAGTGCAGGCAGCTGGGCCACACAACCCCAGGCCCAGCTGAAACTTGCCAGCCCCCAGTGGAGGATGCTTGGGACATGGAGCATCATGTCCTGGGCACAGACATGGCTGTCAGGAAGCTGTCCAATGAGCTGCAGGGCTGGGGGGCTGTGCACCCAGCCTCCAGGGCTGAGGACCCCTAAGGAGGAGTCAGTGCCGACCTGAGGGCTCTCTGAGGCTTCTGCTGAATGTGAGAACCTTAGGCCTCTCTTTCTGGGGTTTTGGCCCCAGTGGCCTCGCCCGTCTGGGGGGCATACAACCACCCTGTGGCCACAGGAACTCCAATGATCAGGCTCAGGAAAGTGTGAGCTCGCAGCACAGTGGATGAGTGCCCTTCTCAGAGCCAGCCCAGGGTGGTCGCGGTCACCAGGGCCCAGGCCCTCACCAGCTTGGGCATGCTCCTCCTGGAGAAGACACGGCGCGGGCAGCAGAGGTGCAGGTGGCCTGAGCACCAGCTCCGCATGTTGAGCCACTCGGCGGTGCGGGCGGGCGTCGGCCCCTCCTCCCGGTGCAGCAGGACCAGTTGCTTCTGGGCGCGCGCGGCCGTGCTCTCCAGCATCCGCTCCAGCTGAGGAGAGCAGAGCCCAGTGTCAGGCAGCCCAGGAGCGCCTGCCGACTAGGGCAGGACAGGGCTGAAGGCTAGCACGGGGCCGTCTACAGAGGTCCCTGGTGTGGGCCGGACGCTGCCTCGCCAACCAGCCTGAAACAGGCTTGGTGAGCGGTGCCTCGGTTCTGTGAACCAAGGATGGCGCGGGGGGACCTCGGGAACACACACTGCTCCCACTGGGGAGCACCACCCCTTGAAGAACAGGAACCCACGAGGAGCGGAGCTGTTGCAGCACCAGGGGCGGAAGCATGTGATGAGGACAGAGTGGTGGGACAGAGGAAACGGGTGCGAAGTGAAGGGACTATGAGATGCTGACTCCCACCATAACGATGGAGACAAACGACCGACAGTGCAGAGCCAGGGGACACCGGCCCCAGGCCTTGCCCACAATGTCACACACACAAGGAGGAGAGCAACCTGGCCACACCTGGGGAACCTGATTCAGCAGCACTTCCCGTGGTGCCCTGAAGATACCCCTGCACACAGCCTGTCGTGGAGCAACTCCACAGCCTGTTGGCTGAAAACAGGCAGAGGACAGGGCAGTGACAAACAGGAAACTAAATAGCCATAAACCGGTGAAACAATACGGATAAAGCTCAAAAGCAGAAATGTTGAGGAAAAAAGGAAGTCTCAAAATAACATAAAACAGAATACTACTTATGTACAATTGAATTCTGTAAATTTACAGTAAAACAGTGCTGTATACACATACAGTAAAAATGTGAAACACGGAGGCCAGGGCGGGGGGACTGGCCGCTTCAGGATATCTGCCCCTCACCAGAGGAAAATACAGAAAAATGTTTTCAGAACGTAGAGAACAGATATCTGGGTGTTTGCTCTTATTATCCATCCCTTCCTGAAGTCTTGAAATATTTCATTCAAAGCAAAAGGGAGAAAGGGGGTCTGAGAAGAGAGTGGCCCCCCCAGCCAAGACCTGCCCAGCCTGCAGCCCATCACCCCACCACTCCCGACCCGCCCCACCCCGCCCAACGCGTGGCCCCACCCTGTCGCCCCACCAGTCACCCTGCCTACCCCTGCCCCACCCAGCGCCTCGCCCCAACCACCTCACGGCCCCACCCGGAGACAGCTCTCCCACTGCCCCACTCCCGGGGTCCTCCACCCACCAGCCAGCTCACCTCGCCCACCGTGGGCTCCTGCTCACCCAGGCCCACGATGAGGATGCAGTCGGCCTGCCGGATGCATCGCTGGGTCCAGGGCGTTAGCGTGCCGTCCGCCTGATAGAGCACTATCCGGTGGACGTCCTCCTGCTGCCCCAGCCAGCTGGACAGCCGGTACTCATGGACACTGGCAGGCACAGACACGGTGGTGCATGTAAGGCTAGGCTGGGACTGCTGAGAGCAGGGAGCCAGCTGTCCCTACGTGGGGCCCACGTACCTGTCCAGAGCAGCAGAGCCAAGGCGCTGTTTTATGTTGTCACTGGTCAGCAGCAGGATGGGGCCTGAAAAGACAACCACCAATTACAGAGCTCTGTGCTGGCACCCCCCTTGGAGGACAAGTGAGCTCCTTCCTTCTCCTGGAAGTCTGCTCTTCTGGAAAGCAATGAGAAGCTTCCAGGAGGAGGAAGTGCATGTGGCCAGAGGTGACATTCCCTCTGGCCCTGAAGGAGACCCTCTGGACAGGTGAGTCTGCTTGATGCATCAGTGGGAAGGCCGCACCAGGTACATGGATGGGCAGCCTCTCTGAACCTCAGTCTCCTCCTCTACACATGAAGGGGTCGAATCTCTGCAGCCCTGAGAGGGTGTACGTGTTGGGGCAGGAGAAGCACGGGATTGTAAAATTCAAGATAATACAATTTCCCAAATCCGGATCAGCCAGGCTGGCTGGATTCCACCCCATCAGCTGTATTCACCAGCCCTCACATTGTGTCTCTGAGATAGCATGTCACCTCCATCGGTGGCTCTTAGAGCCACTGCCCACACAGAGCCTACCACTCAGCCCGAGGGGCAGCGTCAGAATACATGAGAAGGCCACCAGGGGCTGGGGCTTGGGTGCGCTCAGTCTCAGAAAGGCTGCCTGGCATGTGCTGGCCGCCGGGAGGATGCAGAAGGCCCGCTGCGGCAGGAGGCACCTGGAGCCTTCCCCTCCCTAGGGCTTCCTCTCATACCTGCACTTACACCTGCGCTTCTCCAGGAGGGTGAGAGGTGAGAAGTTACCGTGCTTTTTTTTTAACTGGCAGCACCTGCCTTCTCAGAGACACACAGAGTAGGGGAGCTTTGCACAGTGGTGGTGCCCACGGTGTGGCTGCTGATGCAGGGGAGCAGCCCCTCTAGGGGTGCTGAGGCAAGTGTCCCACTGGAGGGCTGCTCTCCTGTGCTGGGGGTCGGGCCAGGCCGACAGGAGCTTCAAGCTCGAGTGGGTCATCCCACCGGGTCTGACGAGAGAGGGAGCCCTCTTGAGGCTGGGACACCTCCTGTACCTGTGAGCCAGACCACTGCGAGCACTGCAGTGACTTCTCTGCCCCTTGGAAGTCTCAGAAGAGACAGGACAGGTAGGCTGCATCTGGCTGCAGGAACACTGAGGACCCCAGCCCTGAGGCCCTCAGAGGACCACGGACTGAGCTCTGTCTGGCCCTCGGTGCCTGTCTCCTGCTCTAGGCCCCTCTTCCTGGACTCAGGAGGTTCTGACATGGCCCTCAGGAAAGGGTAAAGCCCCCCAAGGTGGTGCTCTGGGCTCTCAAGGCACGAGCTGCAGCCCTGACATTCAGGAACGTGGTGACCAAGCCCATCCCAGGAGGGGGACATGATGGGCAGGCCCACAGCAGCATATGGACACAGGACGTCTCCTGGGCATTCATGTCCAGCTCTGCAGGGCATGGCTGCTGTTCCAGGATGGGCCTGGCCTGTCCTGGCTGTCACACAGCTTCTTCCCCAAACTCTGGACACCAGAGGAGATGGACTGATGCCCTCAGAGTGCTGGAAGAAAATGGCCGCCAGCCAGATCTTCTCTAAAACCACCCTTCAGAAGCGAAGGCCACCTACACTCCCGACTTTTGGCAAAGGATGGATTGTAAACTTGAAAGGTAAAACCACAAAGATTTTAGAAGAATATCTTCTTGATTTGGGGGTAGGATGAAATTTCTCCAATAAAGCACAAAAAGCAGTAACAATATAGGAAAAAATTGATGAACTGGTCTATAGTAGAATTAAGTACTTCTGTTTGTCGAAAGTCATCATTAAAAGAATAAAAAAGCAAGTTACAGAAGGAAAGAAATCTGCAACACTTGCATCCAAAAAAGGGAGCTGATCCAGATTACGCATCAACAAGGGAAAGGGACCACTCAATAAAAGGGGGGGTGACCTACAGGCACTTACAAGAGAGGGTGTCCCGATGGCCAGTACACAAACAAACTTACTAGTTGTTGGGAAATGCAAATTAAATCCCAAATGAGATACCCCTGCACACTCACCAAAACGCACATGCACAGAGAGGAGAGACCCACCGCCCAGCCACAGGACGCACAGCCGTCTTGCTCTCCAGGACAGACTACACGTTAGGCCACAAGGCAAGTCTTAACATGCTTTAAAAGACTGAATTCACACAAAGTATCTTTTCTGATCACAATGGTATGAAACTGGAAAATTCACAAATATGTGGAAATTAAACCACACGTGCTTAAACAATCAATGGGTTGTAAAAATCACAAAGGAAATGAGAAAATACCCTGAGACAAATGAAAACAAAAATCCAACATTCCTGGAGGGAGGGTGTAGCTCAGTGGTAAGAGCACGTGCTTGGCATGCACAGTGTGCTGGGTTCAATCCCCAGTGCCTCCATTAAATTAAGTAAATAGGTAAACAAATAAATGAGTAAACCTGATTACCCCCCAAAACAAACAGACAAACAACCCCCCACAACATTCCAGAATGTACTGGACACAGTGAAAGGACCCCTAGGAGGGAGGTTTACCGCTACAAATGCCTCCTTTCAGAAAGAAGATCTCTGATTAACAACCAGCTTTGTACCCTGAGTAGCTGGAAAAAGAATATCAAACTAAACCCAGAGCTGCCAGAAGGGAGGGAGTAGTCAAAGATCACAACAGAGACAAAACAGAGAACAGAAATACAGAGAAAATCGATGAAGCCAGCAGTTGGTTCTTTGAAGGAATCAACAAAATCGACAAAACTTTAGCTAGAAGAATAAAGAAAGAAAGAAAAAAGCCTCAAATTACTAAACTCAGAAATAACAGTGGGGATATTATCTGCTTTACAGAAATAAAAAGGGACACAAGAAAGCACAAAGAACAACTGCAAGTGAACGAGTTGAATCATCTGGACAAAATCCTAGACACACACGACCTACCGAGACTGAATCATGAAGAAACAGAAAATCTGAACAGACCCACAACTAGTAAGGAAGCTGAACCAGTTAAAAACAGAACAAAGCAAAACAAAGCGAAAAGCAAAGCAAAGCCCTCGATGAGGGGGCTTCACTGGGGAATCCCACCCATTGTTTTTTTTAAGTTAACACCAACCCTCCTCAAACTCTTCCAAAATATTGGAGAGGAGAGAACAGGTCCTAAATCCTTCCATGGGGCCAGCAGCACCCAGACACCAAAGCCACGATGGGACCAAGACACATGGGAACCCACAGACAAGGAGCCTGATGGTGCAGGATCCCTAGCAAAGGCGGAGCTGACCAGACCCAGCAGGGCACTGAAAGGCCACACACCGCGGCCAGCTGGGATTTATTCCTGGATGTAAGAACGACTCAGCACATGAATATCGATCAATGTAGCAAAGCACATTAGCAGAACCAACTGGAGAAACAGGATCCTCTCAACCGATGCAGAAAAACCACTGACAGAATTCACCATCTTTCTCTGACGTAAACGTTCAGCAAACTACCAACAGACAGAAGCTTCCTCAACACATGGGGGCCATACATGAAACTGATAGCTAACATCATGCTCAGTGGTGAAGACGAAAAGCACCCCACCCGGACCAGGAACAAGGCTGGGACGCCCGCTTCCTCCGCTTCTGTTCAGCGTGGTCCTGGGAGCCCTCGTCAGAGCGATGAGGCAAGAAAAAGACATAAAGGGCATCACAGCTGGAAAGGAAGGGGTCAAGGCGTCTTTGTAAAGAAGAAATGGAGAAGTAAAAGCATCATGACAAATCTTACGTGTAGAAAACCCTAAAAAGCCCACCAAAAATTGTTACTACTGCTAAGTGAAGTCACAGGACCCAAAACCAAAACGTCAAAGTCAGCTGTGCTTCCGTACAGTGACAATAAACAATCCAGAAGTGATCAGGAAGATAATTCCATCCAAAAGAGCAAAATACTCGGGAATAAACTCAAGAAAGGAGGCGAAAGGTTTGTAAGCTGAAAACTACAAAACACTCCTGGAAACACCCTGTGCTCACGGACTGGAAGACTCGTCATCACCAAGATGTCCATGTCACCCAAAGCCATCAACACCTCAGTGCCACTCCTGTCAGAATCCCCAGTTTCCTGCAGCGGTTGAAAAGCACACCCTAAAATACACATGGATGCATGTGCGTGTCACTCCACGAGGTGTGAAGGAGGCCCTGCCTGGTGCTCACCTCCCAGCCGGGAGGCTGGGCTGCAGTCACGTGACCAGGGAGGCACGTGGCTCTCTCTCTCCTAGTTTTGCAGCTTTCTATGGATCTATAATTATTTCAAAATAAAAGGTTTTTTCTTTTAAAAAAAGGGAATAAGCTTTATGAAGCAAAACTTCTCCACTGTGCATCTCAAGATCTCTTCGTGTGCACCGAACAATTTGACCAATGTCAACAAAAAAATGGAGTTTTCTACATCTGGAACGTTTGATCAAGACTAATTTAAAAGATCAAGACTAATTTAAAATTTCATCTGGAGAATAACTTTTAAATACTAAATATTTGTGGGGGAGGGTGTAGCTCAGTGGTAGAGCACGGGCTTAGCGGGCATCCTGGGTTCTATCCCCAGCACCTCCATTAAAAATTAAAAAATAAGTGAATAAACAAACCTAATCACCCCCCCCAAACAGACACTTTAAAATATATATTAAATATTTATAGTACTATCTTCAACTTTATAAATTTTTATTCGGCATTTATTTAATGCTATTACCAGAGGTCTGTGTCAGGCAGAGAACATCTTCAAGGGATATTAAAATACATACTCATGTCACAATATATCATCTCATGAACAAACACCACAATCGTGCCCCTATTCCTATATCATTTCTAAAGGTCCTAACCCTGAAACCTTTAGTATAAACCTATCTCAGAAAGCTGACTTACTGTCTATCATTGTGGTCACTCACAATTACATAAAAACATGCAGATAAAGTGTTAAGAATATGGAATACTTCATGATTTGGAGAATTCCTAAGAGTTCTCAGGAGTTTCAATTTCTTGTTCTTGAATCTCGAAGCTTAACAGGCATCAGGAACTTGAAAACGCTACCTCTGCTTACTGACCCCAACCACGAGCGTTTTCCATGCAGCCTGTCAGCCGGCTCCCCCACCCATTTGTGCCCCCTCCAAGTCGGGGAGCAACTGGCATGCACCCCGCAGCGGGCTCACAACCCCAGGTGGGCTCCTGCTGGGGGCGCAGGGGGCTCGTGGTGGAGCAGAGCTCCGTGACCCACCAAGCCCCCGGGAGATGGGGCCTCCCCCCTCACCGTGGTGCCACCGCCAGGGTTTGGCCTTGCAGGAAACACAAGCTGCACTGTCAGAAGCTGGAAGGGTGAGGGAGGAGAGGGGAGGAGGGCCCACCATGGGCAGGGCTTACCGATGGCGCTGAGAGCGTGCCTGAGCTCCAGCGCAAAGGCAGTGAGGGGCACGTCCTCTGACACTGGCAGAATGGCCACCGTGGAGAGGTTGCTGGCAGGATTCCCGGAGTCCCACTTGCTGCCCGAAGCGTGCAGCCCAAACTGGTGACCTGCAGACACAGGGTCGTGAGTTGGCCTGAGGAGTCGGGCAGCAGTGGGGACTGTCTCGGTGTCCCTGGACATTTCTGGGTGACACCGCAGTACAAGCCGCCTGGGCTGGGAGGAACCAGAGCCTGGCCTTTCCCGCTGAAATACCAGCCACGCTGTGGTGCCCTTGCATTTCATATATGCCAGGACTGGGCCCCACGGGAGGGAAAACTGCTGTCTGGATGTAGAGAAGACAGCGAGGCTGGAGGAAATGCAGAGACTCGAAAGGACATTCCAGGGACGACCCGTCCTTTGAACTGCCAGTTCTTCCCCACCCGCTGCAGAACAGAACCAGCATGAAGTTTAGGAGGTCAACACCTATCTGTTATCTTTGGTTTGCCTGGGATTTCCAGACCCCAGAGGGAGGCACAGAAGCCCCAGGGGGAGGCCAGGACGCCTCCAGCAGCAGGGACGGAGGCAGCAGGAATGGGGTCCACGAGTTTATTAGCCCCCATCAGAGCGTCCCTGGCAGAAGTGCCAACAAGTCACTTCTTGGCAAACAGCATCTCCCCTTTTCACAGAGGTGGCTGAGGAAACAGCCTTACCCCTGCTGCTGGCCACATCCAGCCAGACCCCAGGCTCCTGCAGCCTGAACCTCCCCAGGGGCTCTCTTCCTGGCTCCCTGACCGCTTGCTCCCCTGCTTGCTCCGCGCTGATCGCCTGGCCGGCCACCTACTATAGCAGCCCAGCTCCCGCAGACTCTCCGACCCCGAAGTGCAGGGCCAGGTGCCAGGTGCACACGCTGGCCACGCCAGGAAGACCCAGCTCCGCCAACTCAGCGTCCATTTCTGCCTCTGCTGGTGTCGTCCTGAGGAGGAGCCGTGGTTCCAGAGGGCGGAGTGTGGGTCCTGCAAGCCTGGCCCAGAAGCCAGAATAGGGGGTGCAGGACAGCAGAGAGAGGGGCTGCTAGGAGCTAACCTGGAGGCAGGGAAGGAAATGCCACTGGGTTGCACAGCCAGCAGCAGAGGGCCCCTTTTCTCTGGTTTTCCTGCAGCTTCTGTGGGAAATCCCCCCACCCTCTGTCTCTTTCCCAGTGACCTCTGACATCAGAACCCTCTGTCTGAAGTACAGCCAAACGGGGTTCTATTGCCAGCCTCTGAGAGTTCTTCCTTAGCCTATAAGGAAGGCCCGGGGAGCCCCTGGCTCTGGCCAAGGAGGAGAGGGTCAGGTGGTAGGTACATCCCACCCAACTGCTGCCCCAGTTACAAGGGGACCTGGACCCAGCTCTCAGGAGACTCAGAGGCGTGCAGAGGGAAGAGCCAATGACCCTGAAGGCAGAGCAAAAGAAACTGTTCAATCTGAGCATCAGAGGAAGGAAAAAAGATTTTTTAGATGAACAATGTCCCAGAGAACATTGGGACAGTAACAAAAGGTCTAACAATTGACTAACTGGATTTCTAGAAGAGGAGAAGGAATACAGGGTTGAAAGAGTATTTGAAGAAATAAAAGCTGAAACCTTCCCAAATTTGGTAGAAGATATAAAACTATAGATTCAAGAAGATGAGCAAACTCCAAACAAGATAAACCCAAAGAAATTCGTGCCCATAGACTCCAAATCAAACTGAAAACAAGGAAAAACTCTTGAATACAGCCAGACAGAGAGGACGCACTACTCACTGGGGACAATTCAAGTGTCTGGACTTCTCATTAGAAGCAATGGAGGCCAGAAGGAAGGGGCACAAAATGCTTAAAGTGATGAAATAAAAGTCAGAACTGCGCATCTAGCCAAAAATCTCCTTCAGGATGAAGGTGAAGTGAAGACAGTCTCAGAAGAAGGGAAACTAAGAGAACGGGCAACCAGCAGACCTGATCCAAGAGGACTATTATTAGGAACGTCTCCAGACAGAAGGGAGGTGATGCCAGGAGGATGCCAGGGACTGGAACGAAGGAACAGTTTAAATGTCATGTTTGACCCATGAAAGCAGAAGTTCTAACTCTGTGTGAGGGGTTTTCCACACAAGTGGAGTTCTGGGTGGTGGGCGGGGCTCCAGCCCCCTGTGGTGGACGGGGCTCTGGGCCAGTGGGTCCAGAGGGTTAGGGTTAGGGTTAGGGTTAAGCCTGCGCACGCACCTGTCACAGTTCCCTGCTGGAGGCTGCCCAGGATCTTCTCACCCAGGAGATGAATCAGCCGAGTCACAACCTGGGGGCAGAGAAAAAACAGACCTCAACCACACTTTAAACCAAGATGCCGAGCTCCTTGGACCCACATTTTCAAAACCGCCAGGGCTGTAAGCCACCATCTGGCCTCAGGCAGCTGTGCAGGGCACATGGCCTGCGACCTTGGCCCAGCCTGGCCTCTCCTCCCACTTCCAGGGCAGGACAACACTGGGGAGCTATGACCACCACAGGCAAGACCGCTGTCAGGCAGGCCGGGAGGGGCAGCCCCAGAGCCACAGTCATCATGCGCCTGGCTGGACACGGGCTGGTATTATATGATATCCAAGAAGCATTACATTTAAAAAAATAATAATGCTATTTGCTTACATTAATTCTAAATTTAGAGTTGTAGACTGAAGTATTTAAGGTTGGAATGCCAAAATATCTGTAACTTACTTTTAAATGCTTTTGCATAAAAATAAAGTGAGTTAAAAAGATTTTCAGTTGCTAAGGTTTATAGGATGACTAGAATGTCCTGGAGGGGAAGCCTGCTACATAGTGCAAGGTTGTTCTGAAAAGAGAAGTTGCCGTTAGCTTCAGAAAACCCTAAATATCCAGGAAAGCAACAGGAAAACACTGACAAGGTAATTTTAATTCCAGGCAGAAGCTCCCCTCCCTGGGCTCCGCTTGCCCAAGCCTCAGCCTCCAGTCCACTTCCTAGCCATCCCAGCCAAGAGCTCTGGGGTGGAGTCTGGAAAGAGCGTGGTGTGAGACCTCACGCTACAGTACCCAGTGTCCCCAGGCCCCACTGGCCAGCCTCCACCTGCAAGCCAACTTGGAGACCCTCTCCTACCCTCAGGACGCTGCAGGCGAAGACCCAGGGAAGATGCAAGTGAAGCTGTCCAAATTTTAGGATGTGAGGTGGAACATAGTTCGAGCAGAGTGGTCCAAAACAGAAGCTGAGGAGCAGTCTGGTTTATATACAACTAATCTCGCATCACACTATTAATTGGAACTACTTTAACAAACCACACATTTCATTATGGAAGATGTCAGACATACACAAAGTGAGAGGAGAGTGCCTCCCCGTCACCCAGCTCCAACCTTCTTAGTTCACATACCCTCCCCAATTGTGAAGACAACTCCAAACAGCATTTTACCCACTGATGTTTGAATTTGTGTCTCTAAAAGATAAAAACCTTTAAAACCACAACGATGTAATTATCACAATTATAAATTAACAATAATTCTAAGTTAAAGTTAATTTAAAAAGTGATCATTTCCGTATCAAGTGAAAAAGGTTCGAAACAGGCGAATAAAACACGTGAAAAGGTGCTCATCACCTGCGGACATCAGGGAGATGCACATTCTAGCCACAGTGGGGCACCACTTCCTACCAAGAGAACTGCGCATCTCAAAGACTAAAGCCTACAGGAGAGCTGGCTGGCAGTTTCTTAAGAAGGTAAACCACACTGTGACCCAGCAATTCTACGCAAGAAATTTTAAATGTCCCATAAAAACATTCACATAAGAACATTTTTAGCCTGTTCACAGCAGCCTCAAACTGGAAACCCAAATACCCATCAACAGGAGAATGGATGAAGGAATTGGGGTGGCAACAAAAGAATGGGTCAACGAACACGGAACAACGTGGACCCCTCAGTACCGAGCCCAGTACTGTGTTCTGTGTGCTTTCACTTACACGAAATCCAAGGAAGACAGGAAGTGGACAGTGATTGTTGAGGATGGGTGTGTGGCTGGCGGGGCACTTGTAGGTGAGCACGCATGACATCCCAGGGCAGCCGGGCCTGGTGGCTCTGAGCATGTACCCCACGTGCACTGGGGGCCATCGGGCAGCCCAGTGGCAAGCAGCTAGCTGTGTGACAGTGCGGCAGCAGCAGGGCTGGCCTGGGCGCCCACAGGCGGCACAAGTTGGGGCCGGACCCTGCAAGACCCCTGCTGCACTGACACTTGTCAGCTCATACTGCAGCCAGGAGCTGCCATGCAACTTGTCAACAGGAGGAAGCCAGACGCAGGCTTGCTTCCCAGTGGTCAGCCTGGGTGCTGGCATGTGCTGAGAGTGGACAGCCTCGCCCACTCTGAGGCTGACTCCCCTGAAGGGTGGGCAGACCCCGGCCCCACACTATGTGGACAGAAAAGTGCCAAGGCAGGAGGTGGGAAGCAGAAAGCCTGGAAGGTTGGAGCTGAGGAGGTGGGGAGGCTCTGGGGACCCCCGGGGTATGGGTGTGAGCAGAGGGTCCTTCTGTGAGCCCACCAGGGGCAGTTCTGGAAGAGGCAGCAGATGGGAGCACAGCTGGCCTCTGTTCCCAGCGTGAGTGCCTGACAGCAGGGCTCACTTCAGCAGGCCTGACACCTGGTGTGACTGGCCTTTCCTGGCCCCGTCTGGGGATTTTCAAACTGTCTGACCCTGAGAACATCATCCGGCACCGGAGGCCAGTTACAGCCGTGGGCCGCACCCTGCACCCCACACCGTACCGCCCAGAGCTGCTGGCAGCACAGAGCCACGCAGCGAGCAGCAGCCTTGGAGGGGCAGCTGGGAGGTGTTCCTGACGAGGAGGGCATTGCCTCTAGGACACGCCAGCCCCTGGCTGGAGCTGGGCTTCCCAGGCACGACACCATCCCGAACCTCCGGGTGGCCCATATGCAGGCCCTGGTCCACAAGGGCTCTGCCATCCACCGGCTCTCCTGGTGCTTAAATGGCCAGTAGCAGGGCCCTCAGATTCGCGTCCCGGTTACCTCACAAGCCCAGGCTGGTAGGAGTGCTCGCTGCAGAGGTGGACGAGGCAGCCCCCCTCGGGGGAGTCCCAGGAGGGTGGGGGCCAGGTGGCCCGGGGCTGGCAGGTTATGAGACTGGAGTGACAGGGCTGTGAGGGGACAGCCTAGGGTGTCTGTTCAGGGGTGGTGACAGTGACAGTCTGCAGCAGAGGGTGGCCCTGAGGGTCGATGGGCGCAAGCGTCTTCACTGCTGGAGGGGAGATGCTGACTCGGAAAGGGAAGGTGCTGGAGCCCGAGCGTGGGCCCACCGAGTGGCCCAGCTCTAGCCCCACCAGAGGGGCCAGGATCCAGGCAGCATGAGCACATCAGAAGGACTCCGAGGGTCACTAGCATCCAAATTGAGATGACGGTAAAGGCTCACAACAGGAATGGAAAGAAGACTCTTCAGTCGACACCGACACACAAAGTGAAAGAAGGGCTGGGAGCGCAGAGACGGCGGTGGCGGGAGCCTGAGCCGGGCACCTATGACTAGGCCCAGCAACACAAGGCGGCGGCCCTGGTTCTGCCGCTGCCTGGTGCCTGTGCACAGCCAGGGCCACTGAGGACCGGCCCCACGGCCTCCCCAGGGAGGGCGCACCACACCTTCACCTGGCTTCCAATGGGAAAGACAAGCCCTGGAAGGGGCCTGGGCTCCCCCAGCCCCAGGACGGCGAGGCCTCCATGCTGCGTCTGGCTTATCTTCCCCACAGCCTTGCTCTGAATGACTCTGCTGGTTTACCTGGTGTCGGGGGGTGGACTTCCATTTCTACCTGCCACTCCACCTACTTCTCTTCCAAATCCTCATGTCAGTTCCCTTGGAGTTTTCTCATAAAAGATACATGCTGTCTGCTAGAACACTCCCTCACACCATACACAAAAATCAACTCAAAATGGATCAAAGACTTAAACATAAGACAAGATACAATAAACCTCCTAGAAGAAAATAGAGGCAAAACATTATCTGACCTACATCTCAAAAATGTTCTCCTAGAACAGTCTACTCAAGCCATAGAAATAAAAGCAAGAATAAACAAATGGGACCTAATGAAACTTACAAGCTTCTGCACAGCAAAGGAAACCAGAAGTAAAACAAGAAGAAAACCTATGGAATGGGAGGAAATTTTTGCAAACAATGAAATCGACAAAGGCTCGATCTCCAGAATATATAAGCAGCTCATATGACTTAACAAGAAAGAAACAAACAACCTCATCCAAAAATGGGCAAAAGACATAAACAAGCAATTCTCCAAGGAAGACATACAAATGATCAATAGGCACATGAAAAAGTGCTCAATATTACTAATTATCAGAGAAATGCAAATCAAAACTATGATGAGGTATCACCTCACACCAGTCAGAATTGCCATCATTCAAAAATCCACAAACGACAAATGCTGGAGAGGCTGTGGAGAAAAGGGAACCCTGCTTCACTGCTGGTGGGAATGCAGTTTGGTGCAGCCACCGTGGAAAACAGTATGGAGATTCCTCAAAAGA